AAATAAAAAAAAAAAAAAAGAAATGTCAAAAAAAAAAAAGTTACTTAGATGAAAACTTTTTAAAGTCTTCCCTTAAAAAGCTAAATCAAATTGAAAAGAACTGCAGTGCGAGTTGAGCATTCCGAATCTGAGATCCACTGCTCCAGAGCCCGAAACCTTCTGACCCAGTGCAACGCCACGAACCCTGCACCCAGGACAGGGTGAGCTCGGAGAGCAGGCACGCGGAGGGCACGGACCCCGCAGTACAACGGGAGTCCCGCTCCACGTTGGCCTTGCCCGAAGGGTGTCACATGTCTGCAAATCCTCCAGGACCCGAACGCTGAAGCCTCTGAGCCTGGCATCTGGGATAAGGGTGGCTCCACCCATCTGGACCTGCGTGCTCCAGCTTCGCCATCACAAGGCGCACTGTCACCCCCATCATTTCTGCCAAGTACCTGAGATCCCTGTTGCTCAGAGACCAACGCATGGAGCCGAGGCGGCTGCGCTCCGGCTGCCACACATCAGTGCAGCACAAACCCATCATAAAGCCAGGCTTTCTGGTACCAAGTTTGTTTTAAAAGCTTTTTTCTTGAGGCTACTGACTCTTTAAAGCTGTTCCCCTTGCATCTAATACCTAACCCCCTTCGAAAGAGAACATTTTCATAAAGGAAGCGATGTGAAGCTACATTTCTATGAAAGTTACACCTGCTCACCCAGCTTTCCTGCCTTGACAGAAATGCACATTTCCTCTGAGAGAGGCTTGTGGTTTTCCCTGTGTCCTACAATTAGATAAATCTCTGGCCAATGACTGTTCAGCACACGCCACAGTACTCTTCACCGCGCGGTTAGTGTTAAACATGAGGTATGGGGGTGTGGAGTCCCCATCATCTCTGCTGTCTACAGAGAACAGGCAGAGTCGAGGAAGCACGCACACCCTGGAGGAGATGCTGACAGACAGCAGGGCTCTAACGCAGCTGCTGGGGTTGGGGGCCACACGCCCATCTGACTCGATAAATCAGTCTTCGGCATGGACACTGAGTCACACTCTGGGATTCTGTGCTCTTTCCATTTCACCAAGCAGGGCCCACAGGGAGCGCTGGCCCTTTTCCAGGCCCACCGACACCGCAGTGTGAGACGTCAAAGTTTAACCTGGCCTCGGTGGCCAGAGTTCCCAGCAGCCACCATCAGCACCACGAAGTGAAGATTATCATGACTACTGGTTTATAAAATGAAGATGGAGGAGTCTACATTTTTCCTAGTCATATTCTTATGGGGCCCCCGACTTCCTGATATCCCCCTCACACAGGGGGCTGCAGACACAGCAGGGTCACCTAGGACCACGCTACATTATACTGTCAACCAAACTCTGGGGGCCTTTGCTATGGGTAAAGGATGGAGCAGGCACAGTGGGGGTGTGGGGAGGTGAGGGGCAAAGGTCCTGGGGAGGGCAGGACAGGAGTGCCAGGTTGGCCTGGACAGGATACCCTCATCCCCAGGTGGCCGTGAGTCAACCTCAATGCTAAGGAATCGTTCTTCAATGTCTTCACGGGAGTGACAGAATGGCTATGCTGAAAAGTAAGAAGCGCTCATCTGTGAGACCACAGACTGAACCACTGCAAATGACCCTGAGGGACAGACGAGGAGGGCGAGGAGGCGGGGGAGATGAGGCTGGCGAGTAGGGACCACTACTGGGGATAGAAGCCCACTAGATGCTCCTCTCTACTTCTGTGCACAGCTGGATATTTCCTTTACGCACACATCAATGAATTCTAAAAAGTAAAGAATCGCTTTAAAATAATCGCCTTGATTTATGTACTTCGTCTGGCCTCTGCCCAGTTGGACTCTCCTAAAATGTAGGCAGGGAGGGAGGGAAGAGGGGGCACTCACAGCTGGCTCCTCGTTCAGTGTCTGCAGCATCCATTTTTCCAGCGTCTGGAAGTCCCGAGGACCCTGGTACTTCACTGCTTCTTGGCCAGGCTTAAAAAACTTCAGACTGCAGAACAACAAAGGATTAGGCAGATAGCACAAGTTTAGAGCTTTCCAAACCACTCTGAGTGGAGAGCACCATCTCACCAGGGAGCAGACTCATGTAGGGAACCAAGCGGAAAATGAGCTGGCCAGGGGCTGCAGCCGGGCCCTCTCTCCATCTGCTAATACTGTCGGGAAACAGAAGTACTGCTCCAGGAGGTAGTGTGTGCACAGAAGTGTTCGGGAGTTTCTGAGGGTGTTCAAGGAAAATAAAACCCAGGTGAAAACTTGCAGCCACAAGGAAGCACTCTGTGTTCCTGTGCAGAATCTCAGGCTTCTCCCTTTAAGGTATTTGTTATCCTCCCAAGCTGGGTAGGTATTTGGTAGCTACTGTTCTAGTCGGGTATCTAAATTAGGCCGTAGTAGTAACATACTGGCTTGGCAATGCATTATTCCCAGATGACCTTGGAAGGTACTAGACACTCGCAAAGTATGATGTGTTGGTCACCTTTCTGTTGCTGGGACAAAATACCCGACATCTGCAACTGAGAGGAGAGGTTTACTTCAGCTCATGGTTCTGGAGCTATCAATCCATGGGTGGCAGAAATGGCACACTGGAAGGGCCTGAGGGCAGAAAGCTGTTCCACGTGTGGCAGCCAGGAAGCAGAGAGCAGGAAAAGCTATGGGGGAAGGAAGGAGGGACCAGATAGAGTCCCCAAGGTCACACCCTACGACTCACACAGACTCCCCAGAAGGTGCCTCATTAATCTCCTAGGGATCTTTCAAGCCAATCAGGCTGACATCGAGATTAACCACCACACATAAATATCCAGATATTTTGAGACATTTCCAAGAGTAAGGACACTGGTTGGTGCAAACTATTCCTTCTCTTTTCCTATGGAGAAGGGATCTTCTCTTTTTTCTATATATGTTGGCCTCTGAAGAGACAATGTGGGAGCAGTTCCCTTCATTGTAAGCAAAGCATCTCTAGAGACTGATGCTTAGCACTTGCTGCTGATCACTCTGGTAGTAATGGAAAACATGTTTCAGATGAAACTTCACAGGAGATGTAAAGGATGAGAACAAAAAAAAAAGAAAGAAAAAACCATGGGCTATATTTTCTGGCAAGACACCCTCATGCTTCTGGGGCACATATGTAGATTTTCTGAGTCAATGCTCAACATACAGAATCAGCAGATTCCCCTTAAATGAAGGCCTTAAAGTCTCACAGCAACACAAGAAAGCCAGTCTGCTGGCTAGATCAACATTGAAAGTTCAAGGGCATAGAGACCTTACTGAGCATCCAATGTCATGTCATAGGGCTTAAGTGATGCCCCTAAAGTGTCCCCAAGAAGAGGATAGGCCCAGCTTCTTCTGTCACCCCTAAAGATGCTCCTCAACCTGAGAAACATCCTAATAAACTGATCCTAAGTTGAAAGTATATTTAATATACCCACCAAAACAAGGCAGCTTAGTCAAGCTACTTTAAATACGCTTGGAACACCTGTCACAGCCTACAGTTCGTCAAAAGCATCCAATACAAAGCCTATTTCATAACAGTGTTGGTTATCTCATGCTTTGAACAGCTGTATGAAAGTGATAAACAGATCCAGTTGAATGATGATGCTTCTGTCCCATGATAAAGTAAAAAATAATTCTAAGTTGATCTATCATTAAGCCAGGACCATCTGCACTTCTATAATCACATCGGGCCTCCAAGGACGAATGTATGAAGTTCAACATTATAAGCAGCTCAAAGTATGCTGCAACAATTGTGATCACCCCAGCAGCACCACCACATCCACCCCAGGCTGTGGGCAGCTCAGACAAGGAGCGCTACTGTTGCAGAGACTAGAAGCTGCTGCTGTGCTTCTCCACCTCCCTTCTGTCCTCCAAGTGCCTCCCCAGAAAGGGTCCTGAGTGGTGAACAGATGGATCCTCAAGATGTCAGAAAGGCCTGGGCACTGTCAGACTCAGTTCTTATTTCTTTGCTAAAGTTACAACACAGCAAGAACCTGGCCTATGATTTTTCTGTCTTGGCACACACTGAGCAGAATGAAAATAAACAATTAAAAGAAATCTCTGTTTGGACTACAAATCTAATTGACTTAATCTTCAATTCTTCCTTATTAAGCTCAGAGAGGCCAGAGAGAGCTAGAACTTCCACTGCAGACCTTCCAGGTGGTCCTGAGTGTCTGGCTTCACTCTGCACTGTCCACAGAAGGGAAGTGGGTGGTGGACGGGGACAGGATATGAGCCCAAAGAACAGGCTACAGTTTGCCTATTACCAGACCACCACATGGGCATTCTTGTCTCCCGGTGATTTGTTTCTCTTTCAAGGAGGCTGCAGGGGAGAAAAATCCCCACTTAGTTCTCACTCTGGAAAACAGTTCGAGAAGTGTTTTATTACAGACGCTCCTCGTTTAAAGACCAAGTTCCATTCTGGCGACTAGGTCGTTAAATAAACTGGTCGCTAAATGAAGAATTGTACATTCCAGTACTGAGAAGGAAGAAGTGGCCAAAGGAAACTCCAACTTGATGACTTCACTTTTACTTGCGTACCTCTTATATGCAGTACTGTGAGGTATAACAGAATATAAAATTACAGAATTGTACAGCACAATCAGCAAAAGTTACACTACTGTACTGTAGAAGACACCACCTGCACCATCAGACTGCACACAGGTCCTAAGTCCGAGCAGCGGGTGGTAAATGTGAACAGCTGCTGAACAGGTAGGTGGTTAAATAAGGAGTATCTACAATCTACAGTTATAGGGTTGAACTCTCTCTCTCAAAACATATCAGCTGAAGTTCTAACTCACAACCTCAAAATATGACTCTAGTTAGAAACAAGGTCTTTATACAAAGGGGAAATTTGGGGACGGACACACACACACACACACACACACACGTGCATGTGCACAGGGAGAAGCCATGTGGCCACAGGGAGCTGGGTGTGACACACATGTGCAGCAAAGAAGCCAAGATGGCCAGCACCCATCAGAAGCCAGGAAGATGTGAGGATTTGCTACAACCTTCAGAGATAATGTGGCCCTGCTGACACCTTAATTTTTGAATTCCAGTCTCCAGGATGTGAGACAGTACATTTCTGTGGTTTTCAGCACCCATCTGAGTGGTTCTTTGTTAAAGCAGCTGAAGGAGACTATTACAAATGATATCTTCTCTGTCCAGCCCCTTCCCAGGCAGTGATTCGTTCCTGGCTCAACAGGAAGCCCTTCAAACATTTTCGTGAGCATAGTCAGCTATTTATAGGGTTAAGGGAGCCCAAACTCCCCCTCTGTAGTCTTTTACTCCAGCGTGACGTGCCAGGGAGACTGATGTAAAGGTTCATACCTTTACACACACACTGAGCTCAGGCTTTTCTATTCACCATTGCTTCAGGCCTTGCAACGACTCCATGAGGTGGGATTGTTTCAGAGGACCTGTCTACGACTGCCTCAGCGACTACATGCCCCTTGCACTCTGTGTTAAAAAGAAAGAATTTTAGAGTTCTTCTCTCTATTGGTCTGCTACAATGTAGGTTTGAATTCTGGGACTTAGCAAGCAGCCACTGGACACCAAGAGTTCCAGGGTCCTTTATGGGAAGTCAAATTTCCAACTGTAGGAGGACCCCTAACCTTGACTATGTGTCCACGTCAGAGTCTACACTCATGCTCCCTCCGTGTACAGATGGAGAGCAGGGTGGCCCTGTCACCATCCTCCCTGGTGGAGAAACAACAGGGCCCAAGCTGCAGGGGATGTGAACAGCAGAGCTGGGATTCCAGCAGCTTCTGGGTTCCCTTCAAGCCCAGGGCTCCCTTCATGTCTCCAGGCAGCCTCTCAGGTTTGAAGATCATTTCTGGTTTTATAGGTGGTCAACACTCGCCCATACTCCTCAGTTATTTCAGTCTTCAGCTGTAACTCAGATTGAGGGAGCTGCAGTGACCCCCACCCCCACCCCGCAGAAACAGCTTTTCCCACAAGTGCTTGCCAGGCGGGCAAGGGGATCTGTCTTCCAAGGTCCTGCTTCCCTGCCACAGTGACCATCCCAGACACGACTCTCATCCAAAGGGACCCACCAATCATGGGCCCCGCTCTTCAGGGACAGAGATGCTGAGCCGAGCAGTTTGCTCACTCGGAGGGAGGTGCCGCAGAACCAGTCCCAGGGCTGAGTCTCAGTTCCCATGGAACTTCAGTTCAGCCTCTGTGCCTTGGTCTGAATGCCCCCACCCAGGCAGCTCACATGACGAGCTTAGGAAGAGGAAGGCTTGTTCTGTCTCAGTTTCGGAGCTTCTAGTCTGTGGGTGGCCTGGAACCCTCACCTTTAGGCCTGTGGTGAAGCTTCACATCATGGTGGGGAACAAGATGCCAGGGTAACCAGGAAGCAAAAGGAGACAGGAGGAGGGGTCCCCAGTGCCCCCACCTCCTCCCCAACAGGTGCCACCATAAGGCTTACACAACCTCCCAATAGATCCAAGGCTGAACACGGGCCCTTGGGGACTCTTCCTCCAACCACAGCAGGGCAACAGGCTGTGAGCCTGGGTGAATCTGGAACCGTCCCTCAGAACCAGAAACACTCCTGCCCTGCTGTCAGGCACTAGTAGGGCCACTTGTCAGAGCTGCTGTGCTCTGTTTGTCTTCCTTTCGGACAGAAGCAGCCCTGTGCTGACTGGATGGGATGCAATCCAGGAAAGGCACTGAAGAATAAGTCACCAAAAGTCTATGCGTGCAGTGTGTGTGAAACGTACTGGGGTCAGTACACGCTCAGGACCTCAAGGACCCTCACTGCTGTCCTTCACAGGAAAACCCAACCCTGATGACTTAAAGTGCTTTTCCAAACAAGGTGGGAAATGCATCAAAAACAGTGTTAAATATAATTGTTCCCTACCATCAGGACTGCCCACTCCAATCCCTCCGACCTACAAAGGAAGGAGCCGCAGTGCAGCATGAACTTCCGGCGCACGGTGTAGGGACCCTGCCCCCACTTACGTGGGGTAGCCTCGCACACCCTGTGCGGAGCACACATCTGCGTCGGCCGTGCAGTCCACTTTGGCCACGTAGACCTTAGCATCTTCCATGCTGTTGTACTTGTCTCCCAGGTCGTTCCATGTCGGCTGAAGCCGCTGGCAGTGTCCACACCTGCAGCGAGGTGAAAGGGCGTAAACCTGAGCAGGGTCGGATCAGGGGCGTCAAGCCCTTCCTGTCAGGCATTGGACTGTCTTTATACTGACTGCAGCGGGCGAACAGCGCACAATTCCCTGCTTCAAGCCCTGGGGACAAGCCGCACAATTCTCAGCGTTACACTGAAACCCTGCATGACGCTGTCCACATCTTCCTCTTTGGCCTCCATGCCAGAGGCCCCTCCTTCCCTTGCAGTCCACCTCATGCCTTTGCTGTAGCATCTGCCCTTCTCCACGAAGACCAGAGTGGCTCAGCCCAGGAGCTCTGAACACTGATGCTCACTCCATAAACCCTGCCTGGCTGCCTTCAGCCTGCCCTGCAGGAGCATCTGGTGTCACTTCCTCCTGGAAGACAGCCCTGACTCCACCGCTCTTCTATTTTGGAAATCCTCTCCCCTCCAACAGCAGCTAGTGCTGCTTGTGGTAACTGTTCCTTTATTGGTCAGGTCTCTTCTACCGTCTAACCACTTGTGCAAAGTTAAATCAACTCTGCATTTTTCCCAATGAGAAACTAAAATGGTAAATTTTTAAGGGAGTTTATGGTCACTGAAATTTCTCCGGCTGTTAGAACCAAGCACTGCATATAACACTGCATGAATTTAGTTACATGCAAACGCTTTTACCTCAGCCATCACTAAATTAATATGCTAGCCGGCCGGATGACGGCTTCTGCGGGCTCCTCCCATGCTCACCAGCATCCTCCTCAGCGTGTGGCCTGCCGGCTGAATCACAGCGCTGATCAGCATCTTGCACTCTCAGCTGTCTGCCATGCCAAATTTGAATTTGGAACCAGACAACACTAGAAATTTTATCCTAAGCTTCAATTACAATCACATAGCATGGTGGCATGGGGTTGTAGGGATTTTTCCCATGTGTCTAGTAAGTATGGTATGTATATCTACAGCATAACCCCATGCTGGGCTGCTTTATAAAGTCAGGCTCTAGGGAAGCAAAAACAAAACAAAAAATAAACCCAACTGTCCACTTATAAGAATACCCAGCCCTGACAATTGTTGAGTTCTTCAAAATAATTTCTCAGTAAAATCTGTGCAAACTCTATGCCTCTGACAGATGGCCTCAAAGCACCTTAAGGTAGACAAGTTCACTTCGAGCAAAGTGTCTTCTCTAACCAGCACTTTCCAGGCCAGCTAAGAGAATCCTGTTGTATAAGAGCCTCAAATACAATATCATTCCCTTTCCTGGAGATCACTGTGGAGGAAACCCCAGTGTTTCACTTAAGTGCATAAGGTACAAGTGCCAGGAAAGCAAAGGCTGTCCCTTTCACTACTGTATTCCTAGCACCCTGCACATACTATGTACTAAGTGCTTGGCAATTTCTTCACTGAAGGAAGAAAAAAAAAGGTGAAACTGCATTTGTAGATTTAACGTCTTTGAATTCAGAGGGAGCTTGAATGGTGAGGGAGAGGAGGAGAAGCTACCCGGGAGAGAACAGCCAAGTACCGCAGAGCCCTAAAAAGCACCTGAATGAGACGGCTTACTGTTCCTTGGCTCTGTTCTTCCTTGTGGTGCAAATATCTTGCCACATCCAGCTGACCATGCTGTCTAAAGAACATATGTGACACGCAGTATGTTCAGGGTTTAGCTGAAGCAGCTATGATCTGTCCTAAGGAAACCTGGCTGGGTGGGCTGAGGAGGTGCGGGCTGGTGTCCTCCTGGGCACAGTCCCAAAGGGCTTCCCTGGACAGCTCTCTCTCAGAGTTTGGTCGGACGTGCTCATTTCAGGATTTTACAACTCCTTTGCAACCTTTTTAGTTTTCTTGTGAAAACACAAGACCAGATTAAAAGTGAGGATAAAAGAATACATTCACTCAGGCACTAAATCAAATCTGTCCAGCGTGGGCCCTCACTAAACTGGGTGTGCCTCCCCCTGCCCACCCCAGGAGCAGTGACAGAGCCTCAGGTGCCATCTAGTTGGAATTCCTGGTTTGGGGCCCTTGCAGCCACAGCGTGCACCCCTGGGCCGGCCAGCTGCATTCCCTTAGCCTGGTCCTAACAAGGAATAGCGCAAAACCACCTGGTCCCAGTATTGACTCCACTGCCACCAGGGTCAGTGCGACCCAGGAAGGCCACAGAGAAGCTATGACCTGATGCTGGCACAAAATCTACTTGGCAGGACAACCATACAACTGCCAAGGTCAGAGCAAAAGTATACAGATCTATGTTTTCGTCACATTATGTCCTTGAGCCCAAATCACACGTGGGCTTCCACAGCCTCAGAACTGGAAGCGGGGCAGGGCGGGGCTAGGCCGGGGTCTTCTGAGCTCTGAACTGCTCTTCAAAGTCTAACTGTCAAAGGCCATCACGAAAACCTACAGATCTCTATCTAAATATCCGCAGCAGCTGAGTAAGAAGCAAGTAAGAACCTACATTCCTTTATTGGGCGAATCCTTATTGTCCATAAAGCCACACTGAATGAGAAGGACATTTACCTAGTCCCCACACAGGTCAGTTTTCTCTCTCAATCCAGGACCAACCAGCTGATATTTGCTGCAGTTAGCCCGAAATTAAAACTCCAGCACTGCAGGGGACTTACTATGGCCACATGCTGATTTTTCTTTTAAAAAGAGATTAAAAAAAAAAAAAGCCCACAGATTTATTCCACAAAATTGGCACCAATTAAATGCAGTGGCGAAGTATTTAATTGGTTTGGTTACTCCCAGAATACCCCGTACAAAGTAACTATATTAACGTCAGCTGATAGTTTTATGCTACAGAGTATTTCCTCTACCAGCGGCAGTTCTAAAAATTCAAATCAGTTGGTTCTTAGGAACTTGAAACAGAACAGAGTATTACACGTACACGTTGTTAATAAATCATAGTAATGATCCAGACTGGCCCGAAAAAGTTGACTTAACTTTAAAGGAACTGAAATACAGCTAGACTATGGGGCTAAGAGACGCGTTAGTTATGAAGAGCCATTTTTCCTCCACCCTTCCTACACTCCTTTCTCTGGCAGACCCCTCCTGAGCTCTGGGGGTGAATACTAAATCCTGCAAAACACGTTTCTCACATCTCAAACTCCCCGACCCGGGCATCTAGGCCCCGGCACAGCCTGAGCTTGTACCCCGGGGTAACACCCAGGATGAAGGACTCTGGGGTTAGCGTCAAGACCACCCAGAGAACAGAAGATCTGATTTTCTAATCGGGGGACTTTCCCCATCTCACACGTTCCAAGTGACCTGGCCCCGAGAGCGGGAAGGAGGTGACCAAGGTCGGCTTGGGCTGTTGGCCACCGCACTCTCTGGTTTCCCAGAGATAGCAAGCGAGCCCCCCACCCCGGATACCGTTCCCACGCACGAAGTGGGGAAACCACACCTCGCGGCGTTTTCCTTTTGCGGGTAAGTCCACGAAGGTGACCCGCCCCGCGTCTAAGGGTCAAGCAGGAAGAAAGCACCCGGAGTCCCGGCCACGACAGGAGCTGCTCCGGGCGCGCACGGAGATTTGGGGCGCCGAGCGGGAAGGAGGGGTCCGGCCCCGGGGCGCCCCCACCTGGGCC